AATAGATCGAAAACCACATCACCGCGAGAAATGTTATCAACACACCGACACCGCGATATAAAAAAGTCTTCGGATTTATCTGGTCGATTTTCACTCGTCTTTACCATGCGCTGGCTGATAGTGCGTGTGGTAGAGGTCCAAAGGTCAAGTAAAATATAAAAGAACACGACCTGGAGTCAATCAGCTAATGTTTATTAAAGGTTAACTCGCATATATTGCTAATTTTGCGATGCAAATTGTTCTTCAACACAATACTGCATTAAAAAAGGGTCAACACCGCAACACCACAAATCCCAATGTCCCCCTCATGTTAAATAAACGATAACTGAGAAATGTTGGTGAGAGATCTCATTATTTTATCCATGCGTTGAACGTAGAAGGTTGACCTCACGGAGAAACAACTTAAAGCTAGTTACTCGTCTTGTCTCTGTTTAAAACCTACCTTGTTAATACTTACACAGATTTTTACCCTTTTTTTAATCTCATTATTGCTACTGTTAAGGGGAAGTATAACCCAAAACCTCTGACAGTTTGGAATAAAGAAGGAAAAACGCGAGGCCGAGAACGGAAATCAATGCGTGAACTTAAACTTGGTTCTGCGTTGATTCCCTTTCTTGGCATCGCTTTTCTAGATTTTCGTGAGTGTAGGCCTTTGAATTCTTTCCAGCTACGCTCACTGATCTGGATCATCTCTGTATTTTGAGCTTGTTGTTGTTTTGGTCACTGCGTATGTAATTAGGATTTGCCTTTGCAATACTTCATTATCAAGACGGCTGAGTGATCATATATGCCCCACCCCCGACTAAGAGAAAAGGTCCTTGGAACGAAGTTGATATATTGAAGGAGGTATCTGACTCTACTTCAAACTCATCTACATTTAAGTGGTGCACACTCAGCACGAGATAGTAAAAAGGAAATGTTAATTTCACACGGAAATTGAATAAAATATTATTGGATTGGCGAAAGCTTGCCAGGAACTTTCTCTCTGATCACACCTCACTATTACCGGCACGAGTCGCTTAATTCTATTTTTGAAAAGCATCAAACTGAGCGAAATGCCTTTGCACAAGTTCGACTTTCCCGTATACAAGTTGGCTCTGTTATCGAAGAAGAGATTACCATCTGGCTGAAGAGTATGCAAATATGGCTGAGAGGACGGATGCAAGCGCGAGATCCATGGACGATAGTCTTCAAACGAGACCTCCCTCAAAGGATTTTCAATTTTTTCATGGAAGTTGTACGAAATGCAGTATCTTCATTCGGTGTGTCTTGCACAGAAACCAGGTTGACAGACGCAATTTCATATACAAAACTGAACAGACTTCTGAGAGATTTTGCCAGACTGTATGACACTACAAAAGAATCAATTGAGGTCTATTTTCCAAAGGAGTCAAAGTACCTAGGGGAAATGCTAAAGTTAAAGTGAGTATGGATAAGCCTTTTGTTATCTCGTATCTCAAGAAGAAGCAACAGGTTATGCTTAGATGCCATTACACCTTCACCAATGTATACGGCTACACATTCGGAAGTTAACAGAAACATTGTATAAAGTACATGTAACTCATGACTGGCCTATGACTCTGCTGTCAAGCTGACTGAATGAAGCTGGACATCTTAGTTTATATTGTCAATGGGGCGTGTTTAAAACACGAAATGGCGAAATGGCGAAATGGCGAAATGGCGAAATGACGGAATGGCGAAATGACGGAATGGCGAAATGGAACTAAACACAAGAACCAAAGTTATAAGGTATTACCGTTCCACTGAAATCTCGATCCACCTGTTGCTGAGTTTATTCTGTGGATTAATCGCCACAAATGCAAGAAACATCTACAATCACAAATTCGCCGTCATGGACCTTTCGATAATGTCGATTCCAGTCTCTCTCTGTTAACAGGGCGTAGATTTGACGCCTAAGATATTCCTCATCAAAATCGAGGCGTTATGGGAAGAAAACGATTTGTTTATCTCGTATTTACCGTCAAGCAGCGGCTATGATGTTATGCTTAGAGCTCCAGCAATCACATGGAATGGATAATGAAAACGGAACCCACTTCGCGATGAAGTTTACACAAGATATTTCAATGCGTACAACAATTGTTACTTAACAAATTACTTATACCTATACCTCTTAT